TGTGGAGGTCGGAGGTGGAAGGTGTTTGGGTTGTCCTTTGGACATCCGGGCATGGCGGACGGGCGTGGAAGATGGAGGTGGAAGAAGGCTGGCTATGTTGGATGGATGTGAAGGATGGAGGCGGAAGAAGGTCGACAATGGTGGATGGGTGTGGAAGATGAGGTGGAAGAAGGTCGGCTACGGTGGGTGGGTGTGCATGATGGAGATGAAAGGAGGCCGGCTATGGAGGGCGGGTGTGGAGGATGGAGGTGGAGGAAGGTTGGCTATGGTGGATGGGTGTGGAAGATGGAGGTGGAAGAGGGTCGGCTATGGTGGATGGGAGAGGAGGATGGAGGTGGAAGAAGGTCGGCTATGGTGGATGTTTTGCTCAGTGGGGAAGTTTCACTATATTGAATATACAAGGAATTGAAGGTAGTATGGGTGTGGAGGATGGAGGTGGAAGACGGTCGGCTATGGTGGATAGGTGTGGGAGATGGAGGTGGGAGAGGGTTGGCTATGGTGGATGGGTGTGGGAGGTGGAGGTGGGAGAGGGTTGGCTATGGTGGATGGGTGTGAAAGATGGAGGTGGAAGAAGGTTGGCTATGGTGGATGGGTGTGAGAGGTGTAGGTGGGAGAGGTCGGCAATGGTGGATGGGGGTGGGAGATGGAGGGGGAAGAGGGTCGGCTATGGTGGATGGGTGTGGAGGATGGAGGTGGAAGAAGGTCGGCTATGCTGAATGGGTGTGGGAGACGGAGGCTGAAGAGGGTTGGCTATGGCGGATGGGTGTGGAGGATGGAGGTGGAAGATGGTCGGCTATGGTGGATAGGCGTGGGAGGTGGAGGTGGAGGAAGGTCGGCTATGGTGGATGGGTGTCCAGGATGAAGGTGGGGGGAGGTCGGCTATGGCGGATGGGTGTGGGAGAGGGAGGTGGGAAAGGGTTGGCTATGGTGGATGGGTATGGAGGATGGAGGTGGAAGAAGGTCGGCTATGGTGGATGGGTGTGGAAGATGGAGGTGGAAGACGGTCGGCTATGGTGGATGGGTGTCCAGGATCGAGGTGGGAGAAGGTCGGCTATGGTCGACGGGCGTGGAGGACGGAGGTGGAAGAAGGTCGGTTATGGTGGATGGGGGTGCGGAATGGAGGGTGCTTTGGGTTGTCCCTTGGACATCCGTGCAAGGCGGACGGCGTAGGAGGTGGTGGTTGAAGAGGGTGCAAGGTAGCCAAAGTGCCATTTCGCCGGCCCATAGGTCTGGAGCCCTATCTTCCTATAGCCCACCTAGTACATGAGTGAAAGCATGAGTGTGAACAGCACAAGCCATGAGTGAACAGCATCACATTACTCATAGGTGACTCGGAGCACAGCTACCTAGTATACTAGTGAAAGCATCAGCACAAAAACACAAGTGAACAGCAGCACAACACTTCATAGATAACTCGGAACGCAGCTACCTAGTATACAAATGAAAGCATGAGTGCAAACAACACAAAACACAAGTGAACGACATCACAACACTCCACAGATAACTCGGAACACAGCTACCTAGCATAAGCATGAGTGTGAACAGCGCAAAACACAAGTGAACAGCATCTCAATACTCCACAGATAAACTCGGAACACAACTACCCAATACACGATTGAAAGCATGAGTGTGAACAGCACAAAACACAAGTGAACAGCATCACAACACTTCA